TTCAAGTACGTTTTTTGTTAATGGAGACTGAGAATCCATTTTAATTTTATTTTTGTTTGTGTTCTTTTGAAAATAAAGTGTATCTATCTATGGCAGGAAATCACATGCATTATTTCCATTAAATCAGTGTCAAAAGGTCTTAAAACAATATTGTTTATTGCAGTGATTTTTTAGACAATCGCTCAGCAAAATTTATCGTGACAGGCCTACTTTACACCTTTTATCTTAAGTTCCTACACAACATCCCCAATCAAACCTCTCATAATAAACCAGATATTTTAATTTCAGTAGCTTTATTTTACAAAAGAGACAACATAGGATCCTGATTACAGCTGGGAAACACCAGTAAGTTGTGTTTATATTTTAGAAGGTTAATCCATCAAAAGCCACAAAGCCAAACTGTCAATTTTACAAGGAAAAGATGAAAATACTCATGCCTCCATCATGTCATTTTCTCCTTTTCACAATGCTTACTCAAACATATACAAGCCTGAAATATTTATTTTTAACAAAAATAAAGTTTTTTTCACATACACATGAATTCCCTCTGTGGAAAAAAAATGCAACATTAGTTAAATTATTAGCTTATATCGTTACCAGACAAAACATGTTTTCATTAATGTCAGGATTTAAATATAGATGTCGGTAAAGGTTAGCTATAAAACAAAAGAGCAGATACGAGTTAATGTTTAGGCATTTTAGGAACATGGCTGATTTCAAGTACTTTCTAGGTGGGAAATGCTCCCACCTGCTGGCCAATGTTGGTACTGCATTTCCCTTTTCCTTTAGTCTGAAGCTGACTTCTGAGAAAAATCAAATATGTTCAGGTTAGTTCAGCAATGATCCCCAGAACCGACTAAGTGCAACTAAAACATAGCAACAAACTTTATTGAAAACAGTGCTTGCCTCTATTTAAGGCCTCATATTCATAAAAACACACAAAACACAAAAACCTGAAGAAATACAGATCCCTCCCACACCCCATTACTCCTTCCCTATTTTTAAAATTTAATCTATTTTGGTTTTAGCCTTGCTTTAACCTTTTCTCCAGATGCATGCTGGGACATGTAGGCAATGTTGCTTTTCATGCAGATGCTTTTGCCACACCACACGGACGGAAAAGTTAAGGTATATTAACAGTAAAAATAAACCCAACACTGGTATGTTTACAGGCATGGCTGGACTACAGGATTAGACTGGCAGTTTTATGTTATGCTTTAAGCCTTCTAGCTGGCGCCTAAGTAATAAAAGCAAGTAGGATCGCTCTTCCACCGACACCAGAGGCTCGTCTTTCTAGAAGCAGACATAATCAGCATTTACGGGGTTATAGGCTGGGATGACATTGCTCTACAGTTCTTCTTGCTGATTACAGAACAAGCCCTTGGAACAGCGAGACTCTGGATGCTCAGTTGTTCAGTCGGGTCACCGCTTTCCCTAATTATCGAACAAAAACAAACTTTCTTTCTTTCTTCCACAACATTTTCCTTGTTCTTTCTCATCGACTTCCACAAACCCTCAGACACTTACAAGTTTACTTTACTTACTCCCTCACAGGATTTCTACGACTTTACTGGAGAAGTTTCATACTTTTCCAGGCTCAACTTTCAAAGTTTACCTTCATTTTAAAACATAAACACGCCAACGTTAATTGATTTTACAGAAAATACAGGAAAAAAGGTAAAAAGGAGGCGACAGATACAAGGAAGGGAAAAGGATACAAAATAAAAAGAAATTTATGCAGAAAGGAGAAAATGAAAAGAGAGTATTCAGTAAAAAGAAGAAAGAATCTTTAGATATTAGGATTGGGAATAAAGTCTGGTCTGCAGAAAAAAAAAAAGTTTCCGAACTGTTCATTTCCTCAAATTATCCTGACTTGGGAAGATACTGAGGTCAAATTCCAGACCTTTTCCTGACTACAAAGGAATCCTGCTTCCAGTTGCACCTGAACATCCAGAGTCTCACGAGAATTACTGAAATGCAAACCCAACGCAAGAGTCAAGCTAAGGCCAAGCGTCACGTCGGATGAGTACATTGAGAAAACTCAGCATCACTAAAAACAGGTGAGTTCAATTGTGCTTTCAACCGGCGTCATGAAAAGGAGGGACTGTTCTTCCTGCTGATTCCCTGACTCCTCTCTCCAAAAGGCAGAAAGGAAATGGAGTAAGTGGAGGTGTTAGCGATGTGTGGCTCCTTCCTTTAGTGTTTTGAACTTCTTGGAGGGTGCGAGATGGAGGCAAGATGCCGGCGTCGTTCTTTAAGGTTTCCCCAAGGTGGCGGGGGGATAGCCAGGGAGGTTGGATGAGGAGGATGTCCGGTCGACTTACTACCTGCTCTGGCGCCAATCATCGCCGGGAGACTCTGATTGCGCCGCAGGCCGTCCATCAGACTTCCACCGCCTGCCGACACAAACGTGGCAGACTCTTGGTGTGGCACTGGAGTGTCAGATTCTGAATTGTGCAGCACCTTAGTGAACCCCAAACGACGAAGTCTTTCTACCAGACTAACGCTGGGTGGGTTGGCCTTGTCACGGCCTGGCTTAGAACAAGAGGAGAGGCTGGGGGTTTCCTGGGAAGGGCTGGGCAGGTCAGGATGTGGTGCTCGGCCCAGATTCAACCCGTACACATCTTGGAGAAAAAGCTCTGCAGGCCGCGAGGCTAGAAAATTGTCAGACGGATGTTGGCGAGGCTCCGTAGGCAACGGTGAGGGAGTGGGAGAGTGAGAGGGGGAGTTGGGCGGTGTGCTTGGCATGAGTCGCAACAGGGGTTGCCTTGGAGCAGATCTGGGCAATGGGGAGGGTACATCAGAGGAAACCTGTGCAGAAATACCTCTCTCTAGGACCAGTTTGGCCAGACCACATGGGGGAGCTGGAGGGCGTCGAGGCGGGAAGGAGTCACCCAAACTCAGCCTGCAGGGAGTTACCGGAGTACTGGGACCCGTTCTCATGGAGCTGGGCGTGTTTGCTGAAACGGACGACTGAGAGCTGGAAAACACAAAGAAGTCAAGAAAATGACTTTGAATTTAGAGTTATCTCAACTTCTCTCTCAAAACAGCGCTTCCAAATCTGATGTTTTACCTTATTTTCTTTGTCACGGTCTAAAGTTGGCTTACCTTGGTGTGACCTGTGTGATGTCAGTAGGGTGGAGAATACGACAGGTTGTGAAGGTGTAGGTCGAGAAGGTGGAGCTCTGACTCTTTCCTGGGTTTTGGACTAAACACAAAACAAACTCATGAGAAAATCTCACAGTGATGGTGTCACATTAAAGTCTTAACATTTTAAGAACTGTACCACAAGAAGAAGATGTTGAGGTGGAAGCTCTACTTTGTGATTGGACAGTAGTTGTAGAAGCTCCTGGAATGGGGAGAGCCAATTGGTTGGATTTCTCTGTGACGTGATTGGGTGTCAAACAGAGGTCCGAAGGGACAAAGGAGGAAGTGGAAGGCGCTCCAGGTGATGTTGATTGGATCGAGGGGAGAGGTGCAACAGGATGGTTTCTGTCCTCAGGTGTGGATGAACAGCGTACGTTGAAGGTTATCCCGCATTCCTCCTCTTCCTCATCCAGCTCCTCTTTACCCTTTTCGGCTGTTCCTTTCTCAAGGGCAGCAGTCTCTCTGTGCTCTTCAGCCTCCTCGTCTTCCTCCATGTCTGACAGCTGGAACATGGCATCCTGAGCCAGGGGTCTGAAACCCTTCGTCACAACCCCAGGGTGCGGGTCTAAGATGGTGGCCAGGTGAGGCTGGGCAAGCTGCTGCCAGTGATGAAGCGTCAGGGAGCCTGAGGACAAACATAACGTGATGTAAATTTGGAAAGGACAGTGCATATTGGAGCAGAAACTAAACAAGGAAGAATTTGTCTGTAGAGCCACACAGTTTCAGGAACAATCAGTTTCCTTGAGTAGACTGGTGGGTCTGGATTTCCAATCGATTTTTTTAAAAACCTAAAAATCTCTTGGTACCAATGCTGCCCACCATATTTGACTGAACCCATGAAGAAAACCTGAAGACAACCAGAGGCCGTAACGCTATCAAAGGTGAGTAAAGCCTCCAAAAATGTTAAAATTTATATTTAGTCATTATGACATTTTGTGTATAGAATTTTAAGTTTGGAATAAGGCTTTAACATTACACAAAAATAAGTTAAGTGTAGGGAATACTTTTATATTTTGAAGTAAAAACTAAACAGCTCACAAGCTAAAGTTACGATGCAAACTTTTGACATTTAGCTCAAAAAGTGATTAAAATGTCTGAACCAACATCTATTAATTAATAACATGGCCACTGTTTTAAATAGCAGTTTCCTAAATTGGGATCTTTGCTCACTAGCCAGTTAGCATAATCAAGCTAATGTAATTCAGCTCATTTTAAACTGTTGTTTTAAATAAAAAATAAATAAATAAAAACTTTCTCCAATAAGAATGAACAAATATTTGAGAAAAGTAAATCTATAGATAATTATTTCTGAGATTTGAAGCTAATGTAAAAGAATGAAAAACAAGCCTATTTAAATCAAAATCATTTTTTTACATGGCAAGTCAAGCTAAAACTAGCTTAAAACGTAAAAAATAAATAGCCAAAACTCTGTTTCAGTGTCTCTATTTCACATGTCAGTATTCGCATGAAAGAGTAGAAAATACATTATTTGTTTAAAAATTTTATTAGAATGTAAATTTTCTTTTGATAAATAGCGACAGTGGAAACATTACCTTCCATTGGTTTGACGATCTGAAGCTTCTCCGGCAGGAAGGTTTTAAAAACAGTGGAGCCGACTGTGAGATCGGAGAGGTTGGAAAAGGAGGAGAGCACGCTGCCCATCGGGGAGCTGCAGTCGCTGCCCTCGCCGTCGGCTTCTGCCCCCGTCTGATTCTGCAGTTTCTTCTCACGCTCCGCCTGGAAGAACTGACGCTCAGACAGGAAGTTCTGCCGCCTTAAAGAGAGTCGATGGAGAGCTTTGGTGAGGTCATTTCCTCCTGGTAGTCCTGGCTTTCCCATTTGTACCTCGTCCCTGCAAACAAGATATACATCCCGACTTAGGATATGTCATAATGTCTTGACTGTAGGTCAGATACAGGTTTCTTACCCTTGTGCTGACTGGAAAGGTTGGGCGGTCATCACTAGAGAACTCTGTCCAGAACCGGGGATGGGCGGGGTAGCCAAAGCAGCGCGAGATGCTGAGGCGTTGACCGAGCGGACTGTTTGGAAGACTCTCTTTTGAGAAATTCTGACAGGGAAAAATAAAAATAAGTTTTTTTTTTCTGATTTGTAAACGTCGATTATATGCAGATGACGTTGTTACAAGTAATCTATTTAACCCTGTGCACCGTCTGGCAGGGTTGGACTGAACTTTTCCAAGTTTTTTTTATTTTTTTGTTGTGTGTGATTTTGGGAACTGTCTGACATCTGCTGCACTCCTCCTGAGCATAACACTAAAACCGCAGGATTGTTTAAGAACCAAACACTGCTTCACTTCAGCATTTTCAAACTTTTCAAGAAAAAAACCCCAAACACTTCTTTAAAAGAAATCTTCAAAATATAAGATTGCAAATTCCTCTTTTCCTGGCACCAACCAGCAACTACATGTTGACATTTTGAATCATTTCACTCGGTTTGTTTCGCTACATTTAGTGCAAGACCTTCAATCTCTCTAAATCAAAACCATTGTTTTCTAGAAACTGTACAGAGCAGAGCACATTTCTAATATATGCAGATGACACTGTTGCATACATTTTATGTCTTAAAGCTTAAAATGCTTGAAATAAAGAGTTGAAAGTATAATAAATATTCAGAAAGGCAATGCTGAAACAGTCAGATTTACGTCTCCAACCTTTGGTCTTGAAAGGCTGTTTCCTCATCCATGCTCAGCTCTCTCCTCATTGAACCCTCGATCTCTGCTGCCAACGATTCCTGTTTGGGATAAGATTTCCTAAATCGACCAACTAAAATCATTTTTACATGTATAATAATGTCTGATTTGGAAGTCGTTTTCTTACCATGGGGAAGAGGCCGTATGAAAGATGTCGTCGCATCCCGGAGGAGGGACTGCTTCTACTGCGCAGTTCTCTGATCTCGTCCTGCGACTCGTGGAGCATTTCCACACACTCTGCGTTCCTCTCTGCCAGCTCGTTCAGCTGCCAGAGCGAAAAAACACAGGATTAACTTACAAAGTTAAAATATTTGCAACACTAATGCGAACACAAAATTGGATGTGTACCTCTGCTGTGAGCTGTCTCTGAGCATCTTTGGAGGCCTGGAGGTGGATCCTCAGCTCTTCTTTCTCCAGAGCCAGCTTCAGAGAACCAACAGACAGCACGTCTTTACTCCAGCTTTTGGTCGTTATGTGGGTTAGGCTTCTAAAATCCAGGCGCTCTCACCTCCTTCACTCTGTGTTGCAGCTCCACAATCTGAGAAAGCAGCTGAGCGATTTCCTCCTGGTGTCTGAGCAGCTCTTCGTTCTTCTGAGACAGTTCATCTGTTAGAGACACCATTTGACTGTTGGACTCGCCTGTGAGGAGGAAGATGCATCAGTACGAGGTTCAGCCACCACAGTGTCTGAAACAATCAAACAAATATAAATGTATCTATAATTGAATAGTTTAGATCAATGCCGGCTCACGCAGTTCTTTGACGCAGTCGCTGACCAGCTGCTGCTCCTTCTCCTCGTACGTCATGGTGTCTCGCTTCAGCTGACATGCCTGGAAGAAAAACACTGTCTTTTGGAACAAATCTACAATTTTTATTCATTTAATTCTTTAATTTTTCCACCTTGGGAGCTCCATACCTCAGACCTGAGTGCCAGGTTCTCCTCCTCCAGCTCCTCCAGTTTGTTCTGCAGCTGCTCCAGCTGGCCGAGCGCAGCGACGGCGGCAGCCCCCCCCAGCAGCTGGGGCTGCTGCTGGGGGGTCGACACGGTGGGGTCGTGCTCCCCCTCCTCCGAGGCGCTGGCCACGATCCGGAGCAGTTCATCCTTCTTGTTTAGCTCATGCTGCAGCTGGTGAACCTGGAATGTAGAAAACCTTGTAATTTGACTGGACAAATTTAGTCAAATATTTTATTTGAATTTGAAAATTTTGCTCCATTTACTCTCTTCAGACATAATCTTAACCAGATTTCAGCTTAAACTTTAAACTCCTGTTTGGAGTTGGGTTAAACAAAAGAAAAAGTTAAAATTTTATGGCCATTTTGTAAGTTTCAAGCATGTTTTATGCAGATGAAACTGTTATGTACATTTAATTTCCACTGCTGAGTGAACTGAAACATGCCGAAAAAAAAATTGAAAATAAGCAAAAGTCATTCACATACAAGCAGCATGATACTGCTACCACCATGCATCAACATGGGAATTGTATTCTCAGAAAGATGTAGGTTTGTTCTATCCTTTGTGGCTAAAAGGTTTAATTTTCATCTCAAATAAGCCTTTTGGGAAACTTTAAATTTAAACTATGTTGCTGTTATTTGAAATTTATGTGGCTTGTATGAGTAATGAGGTTAAAAAACAAACTGATTAAATAATTCTGTAGTTCAATCATTTAGTTCCTTTATGACGTAAATGTGGAGACTCATTCTCTAAACATTATGATTTCCAGTGCCATAATTTGTAATGAGTTACCTGGTCCACTGCTTGCGCCAGCTGCTCCTCCACGGCGTCGTTTCGTTCCTGCAGCAGGTGGTTTCTCTGCAGAAGAGACTGACCAATCCGAGCCGCAAGCTCCAGATCTCTGTCTCGCTGTCCAATAAGAACGCAGGAGGTTACTACGGTTACCGGCTGACAAATGCTTGTCATCCAGGGATAGCTACCTCAGCCAAAAGATGGGTGACCACTTCAATGTCATTGTAGGTTTTGGTCATCTGCTCGACTCGATCGGCACCGAGGACTGAGGCAGAAAAAGCTTTTTAAAAATCACCGTAAGCTAGCTTACACGTTATCTAGCATGCACATGCAACCAAAACTTACACTCATGCACCTCAAAATAAAACCAGTTTCACTCCAAACTTAAGGAATGGCTAGTATGCTACTTTCTATTTACCAAAAGGTTCTGTCTACTCGCAACACACCCAAATAAAAGACACGCCAAACAGATCTAAGCGCATTTCCTGCTGTTCTCTACAGGCAGAAGGCAAAAAATGGCTCCAAGTGCAGGGAAAGTGAAGCCACTTTCACAACGATGTTAAATTAGAAAGTTTCAGAGTTTCAGGAGGCAGGAAGGGGAGAGAGGGATACCTTTGGAGAGGCTCTGAGAGCCGGGATGGGAGTAAGGAGAGGGCTCCAAAGCAAGATAAGCTAGAGAGAGAGAAGGGAAAAAAAGACGGTACAGTTTAAGAAGAACGCAGTGCTTTGCAAAAGTATTCAACACGTTACAACTATGAGCTTTAATGTATTTTAATCAGGATTTGACAGATTTTTAACCAGGATTTTTACTCAAATAAGAGTATAAAAGTATTTGGTAAAAAGTCTACTCAAGTACTGAGAGACTGACCAAATTACCAATCATTTAATATTTCAAAATTACAAAATCAGATGGACCAAATTATAAAGTTAAGTGGAAATTTTGGTATTTTAAGGATGAAAATGACAATAATTCATGTAACAAAATCAGGCAAAATAAATTTTTCCAAATCAATAAAAAAAACTTATAAACTTTAACAAAAACTGCTGGTGTGTGTCTGTCTTGTGAATTTTTGGTTAAAACATGTTTGTTTTTCATTCAGTGGGTATAAAATCCAGAAATTTTACTCAAGTAAAAGTAGAGAAATTTAGTAATAAAATCACTCAAGTAAACAGCATAGTAAAAATACTCCTAAAACCTTTTTTTTTATTTTTATTTTTTTCAAAAAAGATACTCAAGTAAATGTAACTAGTTACTACCCAGCTCTGGGGTTTGATGTGACAGCCAAACAAAGTAGTGCAGAATTGCGACAAACCGGAAAATAGTTTATGAATGGGAAGAAGTTTGACTTGTAGTTTGTCGCAGGTCATCTAAGGGAACAACAAAACATGGACGAAATCTAACATGAATGAAAACAGATGGGAGTTCACAACATTTGCAGCTGTAAGTGCACCAAAAGGTGTTTGAACACAAATGTACGCCACACTTTTCAGTTTTGTTTCTGAACAAACTTCCGCTAAACCTTTCCCGGTTCGTAAAATAAAAGTTCAAGAGATCTAGGACTTCTGCAAAGCACTGTTGAATCAACCTTTAAAAGGAGACTTGCTGGGCAGAAAGAAGAAACTAACGAGAAGAAACGAGGAGTGGAAGCAGAAGCTTTAATAAACCACGTTAGCGTTCTGGAGCTCTGAGGTTCTACTCATTAGTCCGATCTGCTGTTAGCACCTGAGTGAGAGTCAGCAGCGCTGCACAGACAGCTCCCCCAGCTCCACCTGTTTAAAGACAAGCAGCAGCTTCACACTCCAACAACGCTGGACTTGAGCACTATAATCATTTCCTTTGATTTAAAGTGCAAACATGACCGTATATTAGCACAACCGACACAGTTTTAGCTAAAAGATAATAGAAAGTACTGATTAAGGACAAAGTGGGGCAGCAGATCAGCTCTCCTATCCTTTGTAATAAAAGCAGATTAAATCAGATGAGAGCGCCGTTCGGTAATCCGAGCCTCTGGGTCCGACCGGCTGAAAATAACCTCGAAAGATGGCCGCAGCGTGCGCTCACACATATCTGTTTACCTCGTGGCTGGAGCATGTCGCTGTGGTCAAGGCGATGCACATCCATGGTCTGGTTTTGATCATGTTTAATCTCGCGTTTACTTCTTAAGTTCCAGTAAATAAAGATGGCTGGACTCTGGCCACAATGAATTGCATAACTCAACAGTTTCTTGCTCAACGAGCTGCATTGCTTTGACATTTATGAGTTTCACACAGCACAACGGTTGACGCCTGGTTGGACCTTTGGTACCAATAAACTAACTGGAATGTAGAGGAAAGTGGAAAGGGCAGTATAAATAATTATCAGGTCGTAAAATGGGGTCAAATTATGGTTTGTTTTGAAACAGGGTTAAACTTTTCCCTGCAGATGCTGAACCGATTGCAGCTCTTGACTGATCACCGATCTTTAAAAGCCTGACCTACCAATCCCGATTTCTTTTTTTTTTAATCTGAAAAGTTTCCCTTTCTCTCAGCAGAAAAAAATGGGACAGTAGCTAATGTTAAGACAAATAAGATCAGTTTCAGTTTCAAAATTACAGAAAATCAGGGTTGATTCAACAGTGACCCCGTGCTTCAACTCTACTTTCGTTTTTAAATTTTGCCACAGATTCTTAAATGGATTTATGACTATGCTTTGACTAGGCCATTCTAGCATGCTTTCAGTCCGAATCATCAAATCAGAGAACCTACTTCCAACTTTTGCTCTTGGCAAAATGACACTAGTAAAGACAAATTAGTGAATATTTTAATAAGGCTGTGTATTAATTAGAAATGATGCTTTCTAAAAATAGTTCATAAGTCGTTTTCTTCGTGTCTGTTCGTTGATAGCACACCGGACCTCCTTTCAGAGCTATTAATAGTCGGAGCAAGCTGTAATAAAACCTCTGTACTTAAAAATGTTACATGGATCTTCAATTCAGACTTCCTAATTTGTAATTTTGCAGTTTTTATTCCCTGGTTTTATTGCCAACTGCATTTCAAAACAGTTTTGATGCAGAATGTGCAGTTGTTGCATTTGTGAAGAAAACAGGAAGTTGTCTCTTTGACTGGTAACTCACTTCCTGCATACCACCACTTGCTTGATTGGACAGCAAACAAAGTTTGAGATTTCCCTGCTTCCTTTCTCAGGAGCAAACCATTTCCATGCAACGCCCTCCCTGACCTTGCTGACAAATTGAACACAGCAGCATGCTAACAGCTCACCTTCCACAGCTTCGGCATCGTACTCCTCCTCATTTTGGACGTTTAAACCCGGCATTGTCCGTGTTCCTTCCCTACTGTCCCACTTTCACCCAACTCCCCCCAGTTAGATTCTGTCTCGTGACTCTGGCCTCTGTGTGTCCCTCTGGTGAGGTCAGTGCATTCCTCTTTAATTCACACACACACACACACACTGGTTGGAAGAAAAGCCGGATGCAGTCTTACTCATGTAGCGCAGAGTCTCTTCGGCCAGCATTGGAGAGATGGAGCTGATCTGTGCGGGGGTTTCGTCTGGAGAGCAGCTGGGGGAAACCACCCAGTCCTGACTGTCGGACAGGTAGAGGGAGCCGGACCCGGCCGAACACGAGCCCAGGGAGCTGGAGGTGTAGTGCCTCCCGCTGTTGCCCAGTCCTTCATCTGGAAACCAGGAACACATCCTGATCACACTTCCAATATCAAAATCTACTTAGAATTACAAAATACAAGGAGCAGCACCTACAGCTGGGCAATAAATCAATAACTATTTCTGGAGTGATTATTCCATTTGTGAAAACAAATATTGCGTTTTATCTCGCCTCAGAAGCGAAAAATCACACCATTGCTAATGCATATTTTTAACCACCCTTTGAAAAACACTCTTCAGTTTAAACCAACGACATTACCCATAATGCAGTTCTTTTAGATGTATGACTAAGCTGTTAGATGAATGGTTTTTCTCACCATGTCTCCACATTTTCATCAAATTACAGCAGTGACACACAGTACCATTACAACCGTGATTTTGTAGTGCTACCATGTTACCATAGCAACCTACTGTGGGAAAACCAAACACTGGCTCTAAAGCAGACATTTTGCATTTGTCATTGCCTTTGTACAGTTTCTGTTTGCCTAATTAAACTGGTGTAACCTAAATTAAGTCTCCAACACCTAACAGGCCATAATTTGTTCACAAAAAGAAGAAGCTCCAGCTTCTGTAGAGCAACAGGAAGTACGTTTGTGTTGTTGCTATGGAGTTTATGTGAATTAGTGTGGGTGTGCTCTCTTGGGTCTGGTACTGTACTAGTCAATGACCTTCCACTTGAGCAAATATGTGGTTTACTGGGACACAAGCTAACAATAGCATCTGGCCCAGAGACTCGGCATACTGCACTGAGGGGAGGCGGGGCAGAAACATATTTTGTACCCACTAATCTGAGGTCAGAAACATTAAAATATGTACAAAACAAGATTTTATTCTTTCTCATATGTAAATTAGTCAAATCAAGCAAAAATAATAATTCCTGACCTGTTTCCGTGCTCGACTCCTTCTTCTCCACCGTCCGGGGTTTCGCTTCATACATGTCCTGTCCTCTGGGTGGGAGCGAGGGGCCCCTCTCCCAAAAAACACAAAGCTGGACAAGACAGGGAGGCAGCTACTGCCGTGACATCACATCCTGGTGCTGCGCTGATGGGCCGTGACCTCATGAACACCTTCACCTGCAACAGAGTGAACAATCCAGGGATTACACAGCGGCTTCAAGACATTCTGACCTACAGATTAGGAGAAGGCATTTCTGAAAGTCAGGAGAAATTAGTGCCACAGCCTCATAACCAACTGTAAAAAAAATTATCCAAACTAAACGGGATAGTTGAGACCAAAACGCCAAACTGAAGATTTTTGTCACCCAGTTTTTGGTAGAGAAACAAAGAAAAGAGAAAAACAATAAATCATAAAAATGTAAATTATTGAGCTCAGTTTAATTTAATTCTATAGCTGCAGCCTTGTGCATCTTTGTAGGTTCTGAGTAGCAGGAATCAGGCCATTGGAAGGACAAGAGTCCTTGGTCAAGGTCTGGTTACACAACAGTAAAGCTGAAACAGCTGGGGTCATAAAAGAGATTAAGGCAGATGTTTCGCACACAACCTTACAGTCTGGAAATGTTTATCCAGAAATCCCAAACTTTGGAATTTGAAACCATAGGATCTCTGATTGTTGAGATTTCCGTCGCTCCTTGCAGCAGCCCTTCAGTGTCCCAGTAAATAGATTCAGGATCCATTATGTTCCTACTCGCCGTAGCTCTTCAAATACATGCTTCCTGTTTCCGTGATTTAAAAAGCCGGGACCTGTGAGTCATGCCTCGACTGAGGCTGACACAGACCGCTACGCCAACACCGCTCTCTTCATAATGTTTATGAAACCCAAAGAAATTAATAGCTTAATATCGGCTCCCAACCACAAACAGACACAAAAATGACCTGCTACTAACCAGAGGCGACGTTACTGAGACCGTAAAACCACAGCAGCGGCTCAAGTCCCAGCTGCTTACTTCGCTTTTCACATCCCATCACATCTAATCTGCATTCAGCAGGCGATGCAATAGAAAGTGACACTGAGCCGACACAGCAGTGGAAGATGGCAACATGTTAATAATGAAGTACAAACTGAGGTTAAAGCCGTCATCTGGAACTCCAGCAACAACGAGCGTGGGATTTACAATGGGTGATGAAGTTGGACTTAATTACACAAAGGTGGGCAACTCCCTGGAGCCCCAGCTAATAACCTCCCATCTTAATACTAATATAACTAATGAGTATTTTACATCACTGTGGGGGGATTCTGGCCCTTTCTTCTTTGTACAATTGTTGTAACTTGGCCACGTTTATCAAATTTCAACCATGAGTTACATGTTTAAGGACATACACTTCGACTAGACCACTTCAAAGCATTTATTCTGTTTTACTGTTGGTTATTTAGTGCTTTGAATCATGGTCCTGTTGAGTAACCCAAGCAAGCTTGTAGGTAAGGTCAAAAACAGATGCTTAGACATCAGGGAATTTTCAGATTTAGTTTTTTGTCTAACCTTAACTGGGGCAAGTGAGGCCTACAATGTTTTGGATGTTGTTCCGGGTTCTTTTGTGACTTTCTGGATGAGTCATGGATGCACTCTTGGAGTAATTTTGGTTAGATGGCCAGTCTTGTGAAGGTTACCACTGTTCCATGCTTTCTCTAGTTGTGGATAATGGCTCTAATACTAGCCATGTGTTTTGCTAGTATTTGTCAGTATCTGTTTAGATCCTTCAGCCTACATCATGTTGTCTGATGGGGTCCATTACAGTGATTTACAGGAAGAAATCTGATCTTGGTGCAGCAAGCTAAAATTAACTCTGCTTTCTAAAATAAACTTAGTTGATTTTAGATAACTTGTGAGTTAACACAGGGATTATTACCTTCACTTAAGGCAAGGTAAACTCGGCTAGTTTCTTAAATAATTTGAAAGTTGTATTTACTTTAGCAAAGTTGTTTTTGCTCCTGTAGTTAATTAACATTGTTGAAGTCAAGATCTAGTTGTATTATGAAACAACAATAAGCTACAAACAGGTGTTGTTGGTTAATTAGGAGTGAAAAAAGGGAAGCCGGGGCCCCATTACAGGACCCCGCTATGACTAAATGCGCCTCTGGAAACAACTACTTTGATTTAACACCCGTTTATAATACATAATTATTTCCAAACAACTGTTTTATGCTGTGATATAGAGAATATTAAATGCTTCTACTTTAAAATAAAAGCCTTGTGGTATGCCTTTATTTTGTCAGTTTAATGCGTCTATAGAAATGCGTTCACCGATTTGTTATTAAATACATATATTTAGATATTTAACAGAGAGTATGCCATTATTGCCATAATAACCAAAATAGGCAACAGTTGTGCGATAAAAACAATATGAAGCTCTTCCCGTTAGCCTAACGCTATTCTGTCTCGTGCGCTTCGATGACAGCTTCTAACCGTTGCGTCAGCGAGCAGCTCCTCCGCGAGCTCAAAAAAAAAAAAAGATTACAACCTGATTTATGTTTACAGCAGCATTTCAGTCATGGTCAAACTTACCCGGTGTCAATAAACTTCCACTGCATGGGATATTCCAACGATGCACGCCTAGAGATCCGTTTAGCGAAGCATCAAACAATGGAGAAGAAGGATGTCAATGAAGTTGGCCTGCGAGTCGTAACTCCCTATTTGGGCTTTTGACTAAAGGAACATTCCGCCACATTTACCACTTCTGTCTTTGCTGTAAGACCATTGGTATCTAAATTTTTCCCCATAGGATCAAAAAATGTCATGTTCAAGCAAAATACTCAGACGGCTACCAAATTTAATTGCATATTTTTCATTTTACCTGTTCAACAAACTCATATTTTAATGGAAAAAAAAAAAAAAGCAAAGTGTTCGGACTTCTGTAGAAAAGAAATCTGTAAAATCAGTAGGTCTGAAATATAAAAAGACTTTCTAACTCCCATTACAAATTAAGAGAAAAAATGTGGCACTTTTTGATTTGTTTATTATATTTATTTAAATTTTGAGTGTGTATGACCATGTTGCTTTAGACAAGTTAAACCTGGACAGATTTTTTCTCTGTGAATGATGAACTATATAAATGAAAGTTTTGTTTACAGTTTGAAAATTAAAAAGAATGATTTTGTTAGCTGTTCTTTTCCCTTTGTCTGTCTGCAGCCATATTTAGAAGCCACAACTATTTATTATGTTAAATATCAAACTAGTACTTTGTGAATCCTTTATTTAATATGTTAGAACTTAAAATATGTGATTTCAAGGCCCAATTTGATTAGAAATTGAACACGTTTTAAGATAAGTCACTGTTTTTAACTAGGTGGAGTTATCAAATGCAGCGGAATAGCCCTTTAGTTTTGAACCAAACAGAAACCTACGAATCGGATGCTAACTTCATCTCTGTCCGGAGGAAAAGAGAAGGCGTTTCACAGCAGCCATCATCATCTAATGGCGACGGTCAAACCCAATCACGCCTCAATCAAGCGCCGGTTATCAGTGTCAAATTAAAAGTCTGCCCAAAGGAAGCTGTCTTTTTGTTATTTTCCAACATTTATGTGAATATTAGGTTTTTACGTAGCGCTATTCTAATCTGGAGAAGGAACAGCGCAGCATGGAGCGTATAAAAGACACGTCGTGCAGACTGACCGACGTCCCTTTGTGTCTTTAAGTTGTTTATGTCGAAGCGCCATCGGGAGGTGAAGGTAAGCAGACTGTTTTGGTTTTCTTACCTCAGACAATTGAAAGTAAAGAAGAAAACTATAAGAAAAGTAACCTGTGTTAGCGCAGTGCAGCAACTGTTTACACAGATATCTGCAACAACTACAACTCCCAGTCTGGTTACTGGTATAAATATACAAACTGGCTATTTTAATTGGTCTTTTGTATCATGGAATGAATGTTTAATATTACATTTCTGCAAACACAGCCATTATCGTGGACTAAAACACAGCCTTTCAGCACAGTATTTGAATAAAACTTGCTTTAACTTGGTAAATGGCTTAAAAGATGCATCGAATAGTTACAAATTTCCTATATATATCAAGGATTTGTTAAATACATCAATTTAAATGCGGAAATCCTCCATTAAGCTTTGAAATCATTAAATTAGTTTTTGCTGCCTAGTTTTATTGACTGTTTCACAGTAATTTACAAAAAGAAAATACATAAAAAATACACTATTAGATTATTGATTATTTCCTGGTGTTTTTACTTGTAAAATTCCCTTTTAGTTGAAGTGAGAAATCCAGAATCTCATCACTTCATTAAATGGGAAGGAAATAAATCATCCTTCACACAGCTGTTTTAGCAGATTATTAGTTATTTGTGTATATTAACTTCATTTAACATTACTTTTCAACACTGTATTTCCAGTTTTATTTAATTAAGCATGCATAATTAGGTAACAAATTATTTTACATTAAATTGTGGCACTTTGAGCAATCAGTGCAGCTTTAATGTACCACTCTGTTTTCCAGGAATCCATCTGAGATCCCCACTCGTCATGGACGTCTGCTGGTGAATCGAGTTTCCTTGGAGCTAAAGATCAGCTGATGTAGCCAGGTAAGCTCCAGCAGGCTGACGGATCCGGCCTGCTGCTCATCCTGGAGTTTCCTCCGTGTGTGTCATGCTTCACCGCCACGCCTCATCCTGCTGTCTCCCTCTGTCGCCATCGGACCCCTGCAGCTCTTGAACGAACGAATGAAAAAGTCGGTCACTTCACCTTCGCCAAAAGGACTCCATGTCTTTCTTGGTAAGACCAACAAGCAGCATGGATTTCTTTTCCCGTCGTGCGTTTCTACTGTGACTTAGCAAAACTAGAAATTCAGGAGATTAAATAAAAAAAAAATAAAAAAAAACTGAATTCAGCAGGATTGAACAAAGCAAAACTTGATTTGGGCGCCATCATCACTCCGCTAGCATCTGCTTTATATCATCCAAGTTTTATGTTTCTGTGCAGTATGCATGTTATCGCTGGTGAAAGTTTGTATTGTGCTGTTTCTGCTTTTGTGGATTTTTTAGTTTTAATTCAGAGCAACATTTCCTGCTGTAAGGTAATTACCAGAACTCCTGCTTTTATTAAAGTGGCTCCCACTTCCTTCTTTTACCTAATTTTTGGATGGTGACTTCTATATTTCTCACAATAAACCACAGAGAGATTTGTAGAAACAACTTAAGTAAAAAAAATAAAATAAACATTGCACATTATCCTTTTCTTTTTTATCTGGTGTTTGTGAAAGCAAAAATGAAGCGTATTTACTGGACGATAAATCGATAAATTGTCCTCGAAGTTATTGCGACAAATGATGATATTGTTGTTTTGACACCATTTTCTAGTGATATAATTGTAATAAAATATCAATGAACTTTAAACTCAGATGAACATTTAACACTGGAACTGGAAGACATTTTAAATATCCAAAATAAATAAACAAAACAAAAAATAAAATGAATTATGGAGTCAATGTAAACAAAATAGTCCTTTAAATAAAGGGCTAGTTGAGACCAAATCACCAAACAGTTGAGCTTGTTTTAATTCATCATGTTATTAATTATTTTTTGTGACAGACCTACTGCTTACTGCTTTAAAAATGTATATATTTTTTTGTTATTAAACTGTAATAATATAATAAAATGTTTATTTGAAGGATTCTAAGGGCATTTTAAGGCGTTTATTTTCATCCTGATACCTAAAAAGTGAGCTGTATGGCGTTAGCAGGTTCATCTATTCACACGTTCATCGACTCTTTAGTCACATCATCCGGTTCCCTTTCTGTTGCCTCATATCACATCGTCGCCCATGGATGCGTTGGTGCGCCATGTTTCCTGATGCTTGCTGCCTCTTTGTTTCCTCCTCCTCCTCCTCCTCCTCTTCCTCCTGTATGGGCATGTCTCACCTCTGCTCCTCCACCCCCCTCCCCAGGACTGTTCCTGCATATCCCACTCTCAGGTCCAGCCCATGGACATAGAGGAGCGCTATGAAGACACCAGCCACCAGTTTCGGGTCAGTAGCCGACATCATCAGCTTAGAGATGAAAGCCTTGCAAAAGTATTCACTCCCCTCAAACTTGAATACTTTTTCAGGGAGATATCAAGCTGGAAGCACATCCTTTCCTTAACATTATCCTCTACATCCCTAATGCAGTAGTTCATGATTAATACTTATTATTAACTACTTAATAATAATAATAAATCATGTACTGCCAAGGCCATGTTCCTGCGGTGATGTAATGCAGAGGGGAAGTTTCCTCTTTGCTCCCTGCATCACCAGAACCTGCAAGCATCCCCCCCTGCACTGCTTCACTCTGCTGCTTTTTGTGTTACAGCGCCACCTGCTGGGAGCAGGGAAACGATCCAACATGGAGACTCGAGCATTTTACTAGACGATAAATGTCCCATATTGATAATATTGCTATTTTTTTAAACCATTTCAAGTAATTTACTGATAATTGACATAATAATACACTTAATATGTTTTTAACATCGAAGTTTATTTTTCTGGGTTTTATTTGTTTTTCTCTCCTGTCTGATAATATTGTGATGTTTTAATTTTATGTAGTTTTGTCATTTTAAATAAAACGATAATAAATATAATATATGTAAAAAATAATGCAAGTACACCTTCTCAAAGACTAACGAACTTTAATTTTGTACAGAACATTTCACACTGGTGCAGGAAGATGTTTTAATTAAATATCCAAAATGAAACACGAAAACATAAATAAATAAATAAATAAATAAATAAAAAGGAAATTAAAACTAAACACAGACGAAACCATAAATAAAAAGCACTACGAAGTCTCTATAAACAAAACATTTCATCAACATTTGTGGCTGCCTTGGAGATGCGGTTTATTCTTAAATTTAACAGAATAATCAAACAGATGGATGGTTTGTACGCTCAGTTTTTCATTGGATGCCCTGCAGAGCTGCGACGGTTCTGAATACACCCTGCAAGGCCCGGCCGGCGGCGACGACATCACGGGGCTGTCGCCCGAGCCGGCCCATTACCAGCTGCTGACCGAGCTGGGTGAGGCCACCCACACAATATAGTACAAGACCTGAACTGTGTGTCTTAAAGGAATGATGGAGAGGTTTGACCTTGTATCGCAGGTAAAGGGTTCAATAACCTGAGCCAGGTGAGCATGGCGCGACACATCCCGACCGGCCAGCTGGTGGCCGTCAAGCAAACCAACCTGGACGAATGTACAGAGGAGGAGCTGCTGCAGCTCATGGTAGACTCAGATTTTCTTTCTTTCTCTTCAGAAGCAGAATGTGATTTTGTTCAATATGTGTAACAATCTTTGTAAATCTAAAGCAGGGTTGCAGAACCAACGTCTGTCATTTCAGCTGATTTTAGGGATCAAATTAGGAGGTTGGGTGTTTTTTTGTTTTTTTTTAACGTGACATGACCTTAACCCTCATAAAGTGCTAACATTCAGCTCAGTTCACAACAGAACCACAAACCAAACTAACTCTGTACTCAGAAAAATGCTGGGAAAATGAATCATTCTTAAAAACTTGATTCCAAGAGTCATTTTGTGATGCGTTTCAGTTCTAGTCTTCTAGTTTTGGTTTCCAGAGGTTAGCATTATGAACTGTCATTTCATTCAGATCTGCTAAAGTTTCCAAGAACACCAATGTGTT